GTGAGAGCCCTGTGCTGAATCTCATCAATTATGATGGAAACGTTGCACAAAGGAAGCTTGGAGCGCGCAGTGTCCAGCTAGAAAGGGTCAGACAATTGAAGTATACATTTTTATGTTGTTGTCAGTTTGCATTGAGCTGAACAGCCCGTGTGTCTGTACCTGTAACCACCTCTGTGTCTGTCAGACGGGCGAGCTGGTCGTGTCTCCAGTGACAGACGATAACCAGAAAGCTTTCAAGGATCTGACCACAGTAGGATTACTGCAGCAAGAACTGCAGTGAGTGCATTTTCTAAATAATGTTTGGATGAATTATGTTTCATGGATATTCCTGAAAATATGCCTTAGTCTTCTTCATTGTAACCTCGCTCTGCTGTTTTCATATGAATGCACACGATACTCTGTAAAAGTCCAGGAATCCCACACAACTATTCCTGAACTGCTCAGAAATGAAAAGAAAGTTTCCCCGTTACCTCGGCCCAATACTGTATCTTTTTACACAATTTTTTGAAAGCACTACTTTAAACTATTGCTATAAACTATAAAACATCCATCAGTCTACGCATGCATGCATCCATCGGCTTACTTTTCCTTACCGCCCCTCTTTAGTGATTCTGAGGTGCGAGCGCAGATTGCGGAGAAGCGAGCCCTCGAAGCCGAGGAGGCTCTGCAGGAAGCACTGAAGAAGATTAAAGACCTGGAGAGACAACTGCAGGGTCGCCCCAGCGTGGAGCCCCCCAGTACTGAAGGTGCAGATTAATCAGCTGATAAACAGAGACAGTGACACAGCACGTACGCATCGAGGTGGTTCATGTCTTTACTGGTTTATGTTTCAGAAAAAAAGAAAACGCCGCCACCTTCACCGCAACCAGAAACGACACCAACTCCTCGGAAGAAAACGGCAACCGCAGTCAAACCAACGAGCAGCAGCAGAAAGACCAAGAAATGATGATCGGACGTCTCTGTTTATTTTAACCAGCGTTAAATACTTTTTTGGTTTACATGTGAACAGGAGGGAACATAAAAACATCACTGACCATCGATGGTGCCCAGTTTTTGAGTATTTATTCCCAGGCTGACGATCCTGTCCAACTCTAGGCCTCGAGGGCCGGTGTCCTGCAGGGTTTAGATGTGTCCTTGATCCAACACAGCTGATTTAAATGGCTAAATGACCTCCTCAACATGTGTTGAAGTTCTCCAGAGGCCTGGGAATGAACTCATCCTGTGATTCAGGTGTGTTGACCCAGGTTGAGATCTAAAACCTGCAGGACACCGGCCCTCGAGGCCTGGAGTTGGACACCTCTGGACTACATGAAGAAGACAAATAGCACTTGAGCATGATGTCATTTAGAGGCTTGCTGTGGCTTAGTTTAATCCTATGATATGTGTTTGAAGTGTGGATGAAGGCACATTTATTTCTGCATCCTTCTGGAAATAAAGATTTGTGTGTTTCCTGTTGCATGAAGTAACACTCCTTTGTTGCACTGACCAATCAGGCTGAACTCAGATTTGATTGCACATTTTACAGTTTGATTATTTGCAGTTAACAAGACATTAAAGGACACATTTGAGGTTCCTTTATGTTGTGTTTGCCTTTCTTTTCTACACATAATCATCAGTTTAAATACAGCAGAAACTCTAAAGTCAGTAGTGTGAAGAGTTCACCTGAGTTTAACATGAATAAAGCTTCACATCATTGGCGAGTCTGTGTCTGGCTCCTCAGGTGACACCCCGCCCTCCCCCTCCACGCACGGGGGAGGAGGGGGAGGTAGGGGTGACACGTCGGAGTTGAGGCTCGGAGGGAAAGGCAGGACCAAGGCAGGTTGAAGGTGACGGAGGGAAGCCCGAAATCCATCCCAGGCAGCCACCTCACTTTCTGCTGCTTTCACCTGTAGAAGAGAACGACTCGTGGATGTTTTCATCAGTAATGTTGTGGAGAGTAGAGACAGACGTTTGGAGCACACAGGTTCAAAGTTGCTGTTTTACAAATAGTGTGTAAAAACCGATGTGAGCTCTTACTTTGATCTGCTGCTGTCTCTTGGCCTCGGCAGCGGCAGCCAGGCTCTGCTGCAGCTCCACAGGAAAACTGAGCTCGTCTCTGACAACAAGCACAACCCAGCCTGGTCAGCTGTGGTCTTCCAACAACAAGTTAGTATTTCTTTAGATTCTGCCAAAATAAAGCTAAAGCTGCTTTGCTTTGACTTCCAGTTAATGAACGTTTGCAGGGAAGGAGGTGCATTTAAAAAAAGATAAATTACAGAGGAAGGAGAAATGTTTGGTCTTACATGTCTGCCCTCTCCACCCTGACGCCCCAGCGACAAGCGAAGGAGTCGACCGTTGCTTGTATCTGCTCCCCGATCTTCCGCCTGTGCAGCAGGACGTGGCTGAATGTTTGCTGGGCCAGGACGTCTCTGACGGCTGCCTGGACCAGACTCTGCAGCACTGCGGTCAGACTGGACACAGCTGAGCTGCACAGTGCCACGTTCTCTATCTGGTAATAACACACCGCGCTCAGCTCCGGCCTCACCAAGTCCTTCGTCACCACCTGCGTACAAACATATGAGAACACACATGTCGCGATTCCAAACGGGAATATTTAAATATGCGATGCAGTGCGTGTCTGTTTCTGTACCACGTGAGGAGGAACCTTCAACATCTTCAGTCGGATGTCAACTTTGTGACACACGTCGAGAAGTGGGAGGTGGAAAAAAAGGCCTGAAGAGGA